TTTTCTAATAACAATGCACATATATACACATTTATACATATTTACATACTGCATATATAGACATGCATTTATATTATATATATACAAATATACGCATACACAAATATATATGTTGATGTTTATGTGTATTTCATATATGTTTGTATACTTGTGTTTTAATATATACATAAACATATCTATAATTTTATATATACATATATGCATATGCATGAAGACACATGCATACATATATGCATGTATGCATCTTTATATTATATATATTACTTATGTATGAAATATATATGTATATATATGTATGTATATCTAATTATATCCAACCATGTATGTATGTGATGTGTAAATAAATGTCAATGTATACTCAAGGAAACGCACCGGATAAGATAAACATTATGACTTTTGAAATGGATATTAATATTAAAATCAAATAATAATAGAAACAAAACCTATACAAAAATACTAATGCAGGGAAATCCGACGATATGGCAATGTACTCGTCCGTATAATATATATATATATATATATATATATATATATATATATATATATATATATATATATATATATATATATATAATCTTTTTGTCTTTATTTAATGACACATTTATCCATATTTACATTTCATGTTTGTATTGTTTATTTCTACATATATATGTATGTTTGTGCTTGTGTTTATGCATATCCGGATATATATATATATATATATATATATATATATATATATATATATATATATATATATATACATATAATAATGAATGTGAATAAATATTACGTTTGTGTGAGTGTATATGTATGTCTGTATGTATATAAAGTTGATATGGAAAAAAAATTCAATATGTGTATGTGCCTATGTATACATGTATTATATATATATATATATATATATATATATTATATATATATATATATATATATATATATATATATATATATATATATTATATATATTGTGTGTGTTGGTTTATAAATAGGAAACAAAAATCACCTATTTCAAAATAATAGATGATATTCAAAAGATATTCTTAAAGCAAAAACTACCAAGAGAAAGTAAAGCATAAGTAAAGGAGAAAAAATGACAAAAACAAATCAACAAACATTTGTATTCGATCGAGCTCCTTTAAGTGATATTCCAAGCATCATATTAAGTGCTCCACAAGTGCTTAATCACTATAAGAGTCGATTAGCGGTCCTACCTTTCACCGTTTACTATTTCACTAATTGTTTATTTTTCAAGATATTGTTATCAATTCTATTTATGACATTAGAATTATAACGTCAACAACTATAGCAACACCCTACCTATTACTGTTTACAATTTCCCTGATTACTTATTTTTCTATATATTTTATTGCCATTAAATATATTCATAAGATAATGATCATCATAACATCAACAACAAAAACAACATCGATATTAATATCAATTGAAAAAAGGTTTTACTCGGAAAATAAGGGATAGAGGAAATGATACCGGATTTATTTATTATAGCATTACAAGATTCTTGGGTAGATTATATATCTATAAAAACACACATATAAACAGAAATAAATTTGAACATGCTTATAAATATGATATATGTATGTGGATACATAAATGGAACAATACTACATATAACAACACTACATCTGTATAAACATGATATATATATATATATATTTTTAAACATATATAACAGTACTTATACATTTACACGCACACTAATATATTAGAATTCGTGTGAATGTTGTATATAAATCGATGCTGAGTTCATGAATATATGTTTATAAATACACATACATGGATACTGACAAGCCAGATTGTACACCACCATATGGTAGTATCACTTTACGTATGTAGGCTGAGTACATAATTATATACACAGTGCATAGCATGTATTTAATTAATAATAATACAATATAATGATACATAGGACATGCATATATGTATGTTTACTGTTATATACTTAGCATACAGTTTTGAAATATTTTTCAGTTTAATCTTAGATGCAGAAAATATACTGATGTTAATGGCCCTGTCGTATAAAAAAAAAAAAAAAAAAAAAAGCGGTCGCAAAATTATTTTCCAGAACTGAACTGGCATCCTACTAAACAAGGTCTTCGTGGAGTATATAAAGAAAAGCTGACGAAGCCATAGTCAGTTGTGTAGACTCCCACCATGAAGCTTGTAAGGAATCTTCCACATATCAGATGAAAAGTGTAAGAAAAGATGCAGGCTATATCTGTCGAGTATAATACAACATTTATGAATTTCCCAACAGGCTATCCTCGCCCTCCTGGCCACCGCCGCCTCCGCCGCTACGCTGTATGAAGCCCCGCGGGCACAGGCTCGCGCCTTCGACTCCGCTGAGAATGTGCCCATCCTGAGGGACGACCGCTTGATCGACGACGACGGAAAGTACAACTTCGACTTCGAGACTGCCAACGGCATCACGGTGTCGGAGTCTGGCGCTCCAGTGGGCGAGGACGGTGCCGTCAACAGCGCCGGTTCCTTCTCGTAAGTGTCATCAATCCCTGACAATTGTTTAGATCATTGTGTAAATAATTTTAACGCATTTCATCAACGGATAAAGCGTATATCTCGTTCAAATCTAATTTGATTACTTGGTCCACAGGTACACCGCTCCTGACGGCACTCCCGTGCACGTGACGTTCGTGGCTGACGAGAACGGCTTCCAGCCCCAGTCCGACCTCCTGCCCGTGGCTCCCGAGTTCCCCCACCCGATCCCTCAGTTCGTCCTCGACCAGATCGCCTTCGCCGCTGAGGAGGACGCCGCCCGCGCCCGCGGTGAGCTGAGGGGCGCCAGCCAACCCTCTAGCAGATACGGGGCTCCCTAGACGGCTGACAGCAGCAAAACCGATTCTGGATTGGTGCTTTGTGGCTGCTTATGCTGTATCGCACGGACATTCACAATGTTATGTGAATGATTATTTATCGTGTATTTAATGTATATACTAGTTTATAAAGAAGCAATGAATCACAGGTTTTCTGAATACTCCTAACTGATTATTATTATTATTATTATTATTTTGATATCAAATACACACACGTTTATCATGTGAGTATATATTCACATGTATATAAAGTAATATGCGGACATACATATATAAAATATATGTGTGTGTGCGTGTGTGTCTGTATATGCATATAGACACATAAACATATGTTTGTCTGTTTATGTATTGTATGTATATAAATATAAATACGTGCCATGTTACATATATACTCGAACGTTAATACATACACTAGCATATGCATCTGTTGATTTACATGAAGATATGAATATTACAATAAATACTTAAATAAATAACAATATCAAATTGTTACAACCATTAACATCAGAACTAAAAATAATACTACAATACTAATGCAGGAATTATATTGATATGACAATGTACGTTTTTATGTTATATTATATCAAGTAGTTTTTTTTTCTGATACAATTCCTGCATTAGTACATTGTTATTCATACTACATACGTATTTTTGTGCCTGTGTGCATGCATATCAGTATATATGCAGCACACATATATGTATATATATATATGTAAAAGTATTATCTATTTCATAATACTAAATGTATATAAAATAGTTAAAGAACAAAAATACGCATGGCAAAATGCTAAACGATGTCAAAAAGTTCTATTTAAAGCAAAGACTACAAAAGAAAGGAAAAAAAAAAATTGAATATTAGGGAAATATATATATATATATATATATATATATATATATATATATATATATATATATATATATATATATATATATATATATATATATATATATATATATATATATATATATATATATATATATATATATATATTTGTAAGGTCCCTGCACTGTCTCTAGGCTGAAGAGTGTCCGTTTCAACATCAACTTAACCATATCAATTAATAAACAAATGACTTTACAAGAGCTTAATCCCCAAGGAGTTAATTAGTGTTCTTACCTATCTCACCTGTTTACCATTTCCCTGATTTTTTATTTTATTTTTCTGTTACTTTATTTTAGTAGTATTGTTGATAACATTATCACTTTCATAATTTCAACAATTACAACATCGATATGAATAGCATTAGAAAATACACTTTTCCTAAACACTCATAGAATGAGGAAATCTTGTGCGTCACATAGGCCTACTAATTAGCTTCTTGGAGACTAAGCATTTATGGAGCCGTGCAAAAAATATTCATTTAGGAAAACAATAGACAATGTGATTACCGTGCAGCAAAGGGTTAAGGAGCATCAGCCTGGTAAATACATATATTCATATGTATATATATATATATATATATATATATATATATATATATATATATATATATATATATATATATATGTGTGTGTGTGTGTGTGTGTGTGTGTGTGTGTGTGTGTGTGTGTGTGTGTGTGTGTGTGTGTGTGTGTGTGCGTGCGTATGTGCGTATGTGCGTGTGTAAGTAGGTATGCATAAGAACGCAAACACAAAGATACATTAATATCTATGTATATCTCTATCTATCAATGTTAATCTCTTTTTATATATACAGTAGTTATATGCACTCACATGTATACGAATCTGTGTATATGGTGTATATAAATCTATACTAAGTTAAATGAATGTATACATGCACATACGTACGTAGATATATGTACATAAATATAGACATATATATATATATATATATATATATGCATCAAAACTGCAGAAATACACTCATACACATATATGTACGTATAAGCATTTCTTACACATATCTATATCTATCTATAAACAGTATTGCATTTGTTAACATTTAGATATCACATATACCAGCACATATATAGGTATATTTAGAAATGTATTGATATATATGTATAAATGTACACATGCATATATGTATGCATTTACACATATATAATGCATGTAGTTTTTGACGTCTTAACCTTGTCTTAGGTGCGAAAACCATACTTACTCTAATAGCCATGTCATACAAAAACAACAAGAAAAAGTGGTCACAATTAGTTTATAGAACTGAACTGGCATCTTGTCAAACAAGGTTTTGGTAGACTATATAAACGAAAGCTTGCAAAGCCATGATCAGTTTGTGTAGACTCCCACCATGAAGCTTGTAAGAAATATTCCATATACAAGATGAAAAGTGTTGGATAAAATGCAGGTTATATCTGTTGGGCAAAGTAATGTGCCTTTGATACAATATTCATGAATTTTCATACAGGCTATCCTCGCCCTCCTGGCCACCGCCGCCTCCGCCGCTACGCTGTATGAAGCCCCGCGGGCACAGGCTCGCGCCTTCGACTCCGCTGAGAATGTGCCCATCCTGAGGGACGACCGCTTGATCGACGACGACGGAAAGTACAACTTCGACTTCGAGACTGCCAACGGCATCACGGTGTCGGAGTCTGGCGCTCCAGTGGGCGAGGACGGTGCCATCAACAGCGCCGGTTCCTTCTCGTAAGTTTCATTGATTCCTGATTTCTGTGTGAATTCTTCTATATTATTTGAATAGGGATTGGGATGTTTATCTAATTGAAAGCTGATTCATCCAATGTGATCCACAGGTACACCGCTCCTGACGGCACTCCCGTGCACGTGACGTTCGTGGCTGACGAGAACGGCTTCCAGCCCCAGTCCGACCTCCTGCCCGTGGCTCCCGAGTTCCCCCACCCGATCCCTCAGTTCGTCCTCGACCAGATCGCCTTCGCCGCTGAGGAGGACGCCGCCCGCGCCCGCGGTGAGCTGAGGGGCGCCAGCCAACCCTCTAGCAGATATGGAGCTCCTTAGACGCTGACAGAATTTAAAGTGATTTAGGAAGGAACACTGCTCATCACACCTCATCCTCCAGGCGGACCTTCATGCGCAGATTATTTATTATGCACTTGATCCATTCATGTTAATAAAGAAGCAAGTCACCGAAAGCACTGAAATGTTTCATATCCTAGGAACTTTCACGTACATTTGTGAATATTTTTATCTATATTCATTACAAATATTATCATAATCATTATCACACACACAACACCCACGTATGTAATTACGTGCGCGCGTGCATTTGTCTGTGTGATACACATTTATTTTTCCTATATTAAAATCTATCCTTCTTTGAAATAAGATAATATTGCAATCTATGTTATACATTATCATGGCAAATCGAAAGTTACAGGTATACCCGAAATCCCCTTAAGAAACATACACATACACACGAAAAGATAATCAATATATCGAGATCATTTTTCAAGCTTCAAAGTACTTAGGACAGCAATAAAAGCTTACTGAGACAATATTTTACAATACGCTTACAAATATATTCATATACACAATAATGATAAAAAAGACGGAATTCAGCATTGATACTCATTACCTGAAAACAAGTGGATTCCATTGACACGCCTTGAAATGCAGTATGACTTTTGACTAAGGCTGCTTTTAAGAACCCCCATATAGATGGAGTGTCACTCTGTATCACCTATGGATTAGTATGAAGGTTGGAATGTATTGTATGATTTTCGACGTCAACGAGCTCTGGAAAATTGATAGATTGTTCGAAAACTAGATATACGTAGTAGTTAATATGCACGTGAAAAAATGATGATCAAAATTCATGAGAATATCTTAATTTCCGGCATGTTTTGGATGTTCCATTGAAATTTTAGGACTTAATTATTATCATTCTTTTTATTATCATCATTATTATAATTAACATTATCATCGTCGTTGGTGTTGTCATTGTTTTTATTATTATTATCATTATCACCACCATGATTATCGTTGCTACTATTACTGCTACTATTTTTATTGCTATCATTTTTGTTGTTATTATTGTTGTTGTTATTATTATTATTATTATTATTATTATTATTATTGTTATTATTATTATTATTATTATTATTATTATTATTATTATTATTATTATCACCATCATTATTATTATTACTATTATTATTTTCATTACTATTGTTATTGTTATCATTATCATTATCATCATTATTACTATTATTATTATTATTACTTTTTTTATTGTTATCATCATCTTATTCTATTGTCAACTCTATTATAATAATAATTATTGATATTATCATTATTATCTATTATTATTATTTATATCATTATTATTATTATTATTATCTTATTGTTAATAGTATTCCTATTGTCAATTCTATTATAATTGTTATTATAATTTTTATCATTATTATCAATGTCGTCATTACAACGATTATCATATTACTACAAATATTATTTTCATCATTCTAACAATTAGAGTATTATTTCTTTATGAAATAATTATCACTGTTAGTGATGCTTTATAATTTTTTTTTTCTATTATCGTTTTTCATGGCTTATTATCATTATCATCATTGCTAAGTATTGCTATTACTACTGCTACTTTTAGTATGATTACTATTGTTACTTTTATAGTTGGTGTTGTTGTTCTTATTATTACTGTTGTCATATTTTTTTATTGTCGTTATTATTTTTACTATTAAAGTTATCATTAATTTCACTGTAAGTAGTATTATTGTTTTTGTTATTATCGCTAATAATGATTATCATTATCACTACTTTTATTACTATTATTTCCATCATGGTTATCATTATTACAATTATCAATATTAGAAATATTATCATTATCATTATCCTCACCATCCTCGTCTTCATTCTTATCCTTATCTTTGTCATCATTATCATTATTATGATTATTTTCATGATTATTCTTAGGCTTATCATTATTATTATTGTCATCATCATTTTTACCATTATCATCATAATTATCAATATTGTTATTCTTGTTGATATTGTTATTTTCATTGTTATTAAAATTATCATCTTTTTTGTTAATACTATTGTCATTATCATTATCATTATTATTACTATCTCTTCACACACACATATGGACACATAGGACATGTACATATATGTATGTTTTTAAACATACAGATTGCATGTCACTTTTAACGTTTCAGTCTTTTCTTAGATGCCAAAACTATTAATTCAACAACCCCTTCTTACCGAAAGAATGGGGGCAACAAAATTATTTTCTAGGAATGAACTGGCACCCTGCTAACGAAGGTCTTGTTGGACTATATAAACAAAAGCTTGCAAAGCCATGATCAGTTGTGTAGACTCCCACCATGAAGCTTGTAAGAAATCTTCCATATACAAGATGAAAAGTGTTGGATAAAATGCAGGTTATATCTGTTGGGCAAAGTACTGTGCCTTTGATACAATATTCATGAATTTTCATGCAGGCTATCCTCGCCCTCCTGGCCACCGCCGCCTCCGCCGCTACGCTGTATGAAGCCCCGCGGGCACAGGCTCGCGCCTTCGACTCCGCTGAGAATGTGCCCATCCTGAGGGACGACCGCTTGATCGACGACGACGGAAAGTACAACTTCGACTTCGAGACTGCCAACGGCATCACGGTGTCGGAGTCTGGCGCTCCAGTGGGCGAGGACGGTGCCATCAACAGCGCCGGTTCCTTCTCGTAAGTTTCACTGATTCCTGATTTCTGTGTGAATTCTTCTATATTATTTGAATAGGGATTGGGATGTTTATCTAATTGAAAGCTGATTCATCCAATGTGATCCACAGGTACACCGCTCCTGACGGCACTCCCGTGCACGTGACGTTCGTGGCTGACGAGAACGGCTTCCAGCCCCAGTCCGACCTCCTGCCCGTGGCTCCCGAGTTCCCCCACCCGATCCCTCAGTTCGTCCTCGACCAGATCGCCTTCGCCGCTGAGGAGGACGCCGCCCGCGCCCGCGGTGAGCTCAGGGGCGCCAGCCAACCCTCTAGCAGATATGGAGCTCCTTAAACAGCTGACAGAATTTAAAGTGATTTAGGAATGAATACTGCTCATCACACCTCATCCTCCAGGCGGACCTTCATGCGCAGAGTATTTATTATGCATTTGATCCATTCATGTTAATAAAGAAGCAAGTCACCGAAAACACTGAATGTTATCAATATCCTGGAAAAGAAGATTCACGTAAATTTATGAATATGAATATTTTTGTAGTTATAGTAATCAGTATTATTATTATAGTCACACACACAAATAAACATATACATAATTGTGTGTGTACGAACGTATTGATACACATTTACTTTCTTTTCTTCCAATTGTTTTGAAATATATATATTTTTTGACAATAGAATGATATTGCAGTCCTATTTACAATATACGTGAGTACTACTGACAACATATCGCGAGCTTAACATAAAATCTCAAACGTTTTTGAGAAATAAAAAGGATATATGTGTCTGTAAACTTCCGGAATTCTTCAATAAAACTGCTATTATCTTAAAACAAGAAATGCAGGATAATTCTTTTGACTAAGGCTGCATTTCGGAACCTCCCATATAAATGAAGACAAAAGCCGCATCTTCACGCCATGTTCAGCAGGTTTTTTATATTTATGGTGTTTCAGAAAATTTACTGAACTGCCATCTTTATTATTACTATCATTATTACTGTTATCATGATCACTTATCGTTATTATTATTTAATATTATCATATACCGTCATTGTTATTATTAATACTATGATCATCATTATCATCACAGCAGCATTGTTAATATCATTACTATCATCGCTGTTTTATTGCTATTATTTTTATAAATATTATAATTATAGTATTATTTCTTGACGATGATTATCACTGTTACTGTTTTATTTTGCTTATGTTATTTTTATGAATTATTAATCATTATCATTATATATATACATACATATATATATATATAATATATATATATATATATATATATATATATATATATATATATATATATATATATATATATATATATATATTATATATATATATATATATATATATATATATATATATATATATGTGTGTGTGTGTGTGTGTGTGTGTGTGTGTGTGTGTGTGCGTATGTATGTATGTATGAACCATATTAATGTTGACAACTGTAGAAAAGGTATTAATGAGAATGGATATCTTCACAATACAAGAGATGTATTTGACCGGTTTCGATTCTATCTTCGTCAGAAATACATATATAAGAGAAAAAACATAGCATATATATACTACATGGGAGCTGATAAATCACCTGACGAATGTGACCTCGCACTCGTTACGCGCATGATTGCTGCCACGACCTTGGATACTTTAAATCTGCCCGATGCGGTGTTCATATTCTTCTCGGTCGCGATGTATGCAGCTTTCATGACCTTCCTTTTATGTTTGTTCAATCCTTCATGGATTATTTCGGCTTCCTTCCAGTTCAGTAGATGTCCAGCTTCATCTACATGAACAACCATGGCATTGGAAGTCCTGCGGTGACTGATGTCGGCCCCATGTACGTTGACCCTGGTGCTGAAGCCACGGCCCGTTTCGCCAAAGTAGGCCTTATCGCAACTGCTGCAGGGTATGCGATATACTACGCTGTCGGGGTTGCTTTTCAACTGCTTCTTGTCTCGTATCATATCATTTATCTTTTCACCGGATGTGCTGGCGATTTTCACTGTTTTTCCAAAGTATTTGCTAATCGCCTGGGAAACGTTACATGGAGGCAATACGAGGAAGTCAGAGGATGTCACTGGGTTTGATCTTACAAGTATGCTCTCCGCCTTCTTTCTGAGGTTTAACAGGAGACCTTTGGGATATTTATGTTTCATAAAAGAATTAATTGCATAGGAAACCTCAGTCTCAAGAAACTCAGGGCTCCATATCCTCAGTGCCCGGAGGAAGAAGATATCCATCCCTCATACCTTATATATACATATAATATATATATATATATATATATATATATATATATATATATATATATATATATGTATGTATGTATGTATACATATATATACAAACATACATAAACCACGTATACATATATCTATATATATATATATGTTATATGTATATTTATATATGATATATATTATATATATATA